CCTCCTCCTCCTCCTCCTTGTTGTCAACTAGCTTCAGTTTTACTCAGTGATCGTCTGAACCCCTGTATCATCCGTTGGTTGTGTCCGGATTTGTTGCTGGTTGTTGCCGGTTGATATATATATATATATTTTTTTATTTTGTCCCCTTTGTTATTTGTGAATTTGTTTCATGCAGGAGTATACGGGCTTCTGCTAGATCTACCTTACAGAAGTAGGCACAGCGATTTCTTTTTCTGCTTCATCTTCTTCTCTGGCGACTTTTTGTTGATTTGTCGCACCAGGTCGTAGAAGATCTGTAACAGAAACAGGATCGGTATCAGTTGAACGAATCTCGTCACGGTAGATTTTGAATTGCCGTACACAACAAAGCGATTATTATTATTAAAAGAAAGCGACAGAGAGCTTAATTCCTAAATTTAGAAGCTCGGAAATTTGAGGGAAACCTAGATTGGGAAATTTCAAATTTCCTGATTTCTAAAATTTAGGAATACAATGTAAGAAAAGAAAAAAAGAACTCCCGAAATTAAAGAACAAGCACTTCGAGAAGCCCATAAATTCCTCAGTTCAGATTTCTCGAAAGTTCTAAAAATTTTGCAATTAAATTCTGAATGCCAGGACAAATTGAACTCCGTAAAAAAGTGAAATGCGGAAAAAATGCCTCTGTGTTTAATTCATCACGCGGAGGGCAAGCAATTTGAAAGTAAAAAAGAAGAGAAGAATCCTTACAGCCAGCTCAAAGAAGTTAAAGTTTCATAGATGTCGGAGGGAAGGAGAAAGATACTGACACATGTACAAATGAGATTTCTCCAAAGCAATTATTTCGCAGAAAGTATTTGTATTATCGCTTTAAAACTCGCTAAAGTCGCTATCTACTAATGAGGCAGAAATAATCTCCATTTTAGCTGTGATAGTACAAAAAGTTAGCCGTTTCCATGGAAGAAGAACTTTTAATTCCCATTTCAGCTGAAGTTGTAAGTCTAATTGGTGGCCGGAGTAAAATGAAAACGCTTCAAGTTTGTTCTAGGTGTGGAGGAAGTTCGTACAGAGAAAAGAATTTCTCTAACAGATACATGTAAATAAAACATTTATTTAAAATAATCAGAGTTTCAATTGGTCCTTTGATAAATTTTACGCCCTTTCAAACTTTATCTCCTTCAATCTCACCTCCGCCTTGCCTTTTAATCATTTATTTCACGAACAAAATGTTTTGAATTCAAGCAGAAGAATCAAGAGAACCGAGACTTCAATTATACAAACGAATTGCAGTGCGCGACCAACGAAATAACAAAGGTAATCAAAATACAGGAAGAGATATGAATTCTTCGAGGAGGAAAAGTTGTTCAGAATTGGCTGAAATCATTAGAAACCTGTCTCAACAAAGACAAAGTCTTTCCGCCGAGAAAAATAATCATTGTTGTTGCTAAATGTCTGTGTTTCCGACTCCTGTGTCATCAGACTGTCCTAAAGTAATATCATGCAATTCTTGGAATAAAATTTCAATTAAATATAATAATTTCATTAATATAAATTAATAAATTTAATTATACAGTATAGATTATACATTAAAATTAACCCATTGAGGACGAATGTTGTGGTAACGTAAAATTTTATTTGCAATTTTATTTTTAAGCAATTTGTATTAATTATGAGAATTCTAAAATAGAAGCATCTTGAAATTCATTCAAATATAGTTAATATTTATAATAATATTCTATTCATTCAAAATAATATTTCACAGTTGCAAAGGAAGAAGTAAATAGTTCTATTCTGACACCTTGTATCCTTCTGAGATTCAAAAGCTCACTCTTAACTCACTCTTCTCAAATTTCTGCTTTGAGGCTTGTCTACAGATGCATTTTCAAGTCTCATTAGTTTTATGATTTATATCTGATCGTTTGTAAAAAATGTCAGTAACTACAAAAGTCTGAGTAGCTAATTTCTTCAAATAAATTTTCTTATATTAATGATTCGAAACAGATCAGAAAGCAAGTCATATCATTTTTTTAATGACGTTATGTTTACGCAACTTCTATCCTTCATTTCATTGTTAGTTCTTCAATGGGTTAATTAGAATGTATGATGTAAATAGACGAGTTCAAACGATTCTTGCGATTTTTATTCTTTTTCTTTTCTTCGTTTCAAGGATAGTCGTGAACTGCAAGTCATACCACACAGACTGTAGTGAACAACAACGTGCAAATCATACTCCCACACCTAGGCGATTACATTCCCACATTCAATTAGAATATCTCAGCCTTCGTAACGGTCTTGAACTCCCACACTGGTTGTACTTAATTAAAAACCAACAATAGCCTCTTCACTCTGGCAACTACTGTTATTTTGTAACAGCGCATCCATTTTTTTCTTCTTCCCCCTCTTTTTATTCTCTTTCCACTAGAATCTAGAACTTGACAACTCAACGTGCATTATACAGATTGTATTCAGTTATAATTCACTCACAATCTACAATACTAACACGTTCCATGCCATGTGGGTTAATCTAAAATATTTAGCAAGAATAAAATTTCCACTTTTTGATTAAAGTAACTTAAAATGAGACAGATCAAACATACAGTAATACAAGAAAAAGAAAGGGAACCGACTATCAATCTCTGTTCAATTAAATATTTTAATATAATTGAATATAATTATATTTCATCTCTTGCCTTATGATATCCAGTTACACTTACGGTGTAGATAACAAAGGCGAGATATAATTTAATTTTAACTCTGATTTTAGTTTCATATTTCAAGATTATTAATTACTGAATACAAATTATATCACTGATATCATGATATTTTATATTATTATCCTCTACATGTGTATATTATCCTATGCTTTACATACACAAAAGCATTTAACTATTAAATAGAAATTTAAATATCTTGTCTACTAACAAACATCTTAAGAAATATGGATCAGAAGAAATTGTAAGGCAAAAGCTTAATGCTCCTTTACCTAATCCAAAAACATCAGAATAGCTGCACTTCATGAGGAACAAATTGTAGATAAAGATCTACCAATAAAACATTCATCAATAATACCCGTGGGACAATAGTAACTAAGGTAAAAGAGAAGGCTGAGTGCAGTGAGAGGCTGACCCGTTAAAAACCTACTACTCACATCGTTAACATTAATTTTGGCTTTGGCAGAGGTCTCCATGAACGCACAGTTAAATTGCCGGGCAAGGTTGACGCCCTGGTCTTTGCCCACTACCCTCTCGTCCTCCAAATCGCACTTGTTGCCCACCAGCACCATCGGCACGTCATCTGTGTCCTTCACCCGCAGGATCTGTTCCCTGAGGTCCTGCAGGTCGTTGAACGTCGACTGTGCCGTTATCGAGTATACTAACACGAATCCCTGGCCGTTTTTCATGTAAAGGTCCCTCATGGCTGTGAATTGTTCCTGCGGAAAGAAGAGTGCTCTGTTAATTTATGGCCCCTTTGTCTCAGAACAGACCAAGCGTTATCGTCCCTAAATTGCAACTTCAAACAAGTGGTTTCATTTTTTTTTCTTTTTCTTTTTTTTTTTTTTTTTGAAGATGGGAAGGAGGGTAAGAAGATCATTAACTCCTGGGAGAATTAATTGAGAGGAAATCGCGTTTGAGTTAATTGGCAATTGATGTGGTGACATTTTGACTTGAATAATAGTAGTAGTTCTTGAAGAGTACTAGTTTAATAATTGATAATTGTTTAGATAAATTGGAATATTGCAAAATTTACTTTTGCAAGGCACATGATTCTTAGTATGATATTTTAGCACTATGTATTGGAAAATTTGATCCAGTTAATAAAACTAAATTGCAATATTATATGTACAAAGAATGAACAAAAAGGAATTTTTAAAAATTCTTGTCCTTTTACAAATGTTCTGAATGATTCTCAAACCATACGTGAGAAACATTTAAAAAAAAAAAATTAGTCTGAAATCTAAGGTACAAGTGAAATAATGAACTGAAATACTAAAGCAAGGGAGAGGAGATGTAACATGTACTCATAGTGGAGTTGAAAAAAAAAGGAAAAAAAAAGAAAGGGAACTCACCGTTCCGGCTGTGTCTAGGATTTCTAACATACATTGTTGACCGTCGACCTCGACCTGTTTGCGGTAGCTGTCCTCGATCGTTGGATCGTACTTCTCCACGAAGATTCCTTGCACGAACTGGACAGTGAGGGCGGACTTGCCTACACCTCCACTGCCCAACACCACTATTTTATATTCACGCATTTCCTTGCCCTAATTCTCTGTGCACCTCTGGTCACAGCCGAGGGGTCACCGAATCCGCCACGTTTTGCTCCTCTTTGCTTTCAGTTAAACCAGACCTGCTGATGACAAAAAGCCCTTTTTACTTCTCTTCACTTCTCTTTCATCCTCGTGATCTTTTTCTTTTTTTTCTCAAGTTACTCTTAAATTTAAACTTATCATATAAATGTAAATTTATGTAATGTAAGTAAATTTCCCTCCTCTTCTCCTCTAATTTTTAATTAACAAAATAAAATTTCTTCTTTTCCTACTTTCGATAATACAGATTCTCGAACAAACTGATGTACAAAAAATTGATTTTCGCAAAATCAAGGAACGTGGAGCTTAAAATCAAAATGATATATTCCCGAAACGCTTAAACATGAAGTCTATTCAAAACCTACTTCAAATTATTAAAATTACCTATTAAACAATGCCATTCTTTTATTAAAGAAACATCTTCTCAATCTTTCTTTCGATACCACTATTCAATTATTAACAG